TTTGTATAAAATGGAAAGTGCGTAATTGGAAGACTTCTCTCTGAGAGACGTGACGAACTCCAGGATGTTAAATGCGATAACTCGGGGTAACGTCGCTATCGCGCTTGAAGATAGTCGCGCGCGACAAGAAAGAACGCGTGATGGCAGACAGAAAGAGAGCGAGGGGGGAGCAAAATGATTAACATGTTAATTACTATGAGAGTCAACGGTAGCGCATAAATATTTCCGCGTTGCATTAATTTACATACAAGACATAGTCAGTTGCATGCAGCAAATTAAATATATAATCAATCGCGAGCCAATAAAACGAATCAGCGCATGTACTCGTCATAAATTGCATCCATTTACCGGTTTCTATTTGCGATTATTCAAGCCTCAGCTAAGCTTCAAAGCAATTGGTGAAAATCAGCGCGGCACGTCAATTTGTTAAATATTATACGATACAACAAATTATGCGATAGGATACTTTTTAAATCGTGACAGAAACGTTACGTCCGTAATTTTTCATTTCGTTTTGTAATTTCGTTTACTACCGCGAATTGTTATTCGATCGTAGAAGCAAGATTCACGACCGCGACTTTCAGTCTCGATCGCGATGCGTTTTTAAAGTTCGCCGCGACGTCAAAAATCAATGGGTCGGGACAAAATTGGGACAATTTTAATTTTCATTTCGCGAATTTCTCGCAAAGATGTGCACGTTCGCTCGCTCGCTTCTGCACGGTAATTCATCGTTAAGCGCGCGAATCGTAATTATCTCGCGGCGAGGCGCGCGCCCGGGAGAAATAAGCGAACGCGCGCAAGCTACTGTGTATCGAGATGATAACTCGCACCCCCGTGTACCATCCCCGACCGCGAATATGGGTGGTCGGGCTGATTAAGAAGGAGTCCGCTCGGAGAGAGTTCGCGAATGGCCCGATGTAACTATCGGTAAAGTTTAATTAGCGTTAACTTTACGAGACCGTATGGTAGGCCGAGCTCGGCGCTGCCCGACTTTCCTCGCATGTCCGTATGCAAAATCTCAAGATAAGCAAGCAGCACCTTAAGCTTTTATCAACACGACCGAGCTCTCGGGCGAATTAACGCGAACGTCTTGTCGAGCGAGCAGCGATCTTACATGTCGTCGTAAATCGGGTTTATTTATTTCGACCGTACGTAAACATTATTTTCATTTTCCAAACTCTTCGAACGTTTCTCAACGCGCCAACCTTCATGAATCCGTGATACCAGTAGCTTCTGTTTCTCATTATTTTTTATTCTTTCAATTTTTTATTTTGTTTTCGTAAGCGTCGAGTGTCATGCGAAGAAGCTAACGCTTAGGTAGGTAGGTAGACAGGTAGGTTAGGGGGGGAAATTAAGGATTCGTCCTGGCGAACGTTCGATCTCCTCTTCCCGACGAGTCGCGACCGCGAGCAAGATAAATGGCCGTCCTGTCTCGGCCCGTCTTATCCCGTAAGGAACACACAAACTTCGCTTTCCTCTCTCATTCTCGGTAAGTAAAACGATTCATTTCTAACCAACCACCACACTCCGCCGCGCCGTTGTCGCTGTCTTTTTTCCGCGACTACTGCTGGATAAATGGGACACGTTCCTTCTTCCTTTTTCTTCTCTTATCATACGATCTTCCACGTTTGTGCCCTTTCTCTCTCTCTCTCTCTCTCTCTCTCTCTCTCCCTCTCTCTCCCTCTCTCTCTCTCTCCCTCTCTCTCTCTCTCTCTCTCTCTCTCTCTCCCTCTCTCTCTCTCTGTCTCTCTTCCGTCTCGTGCGCTTCACTCGAAGCTCATAGGCGCCAACTTCCCGTACGACCGACCGACCGACCGACCGACCGGCTTCCTCTTTCTTTTTCCTTTTTCCCTCTTTTTCTTTGCCACCCCGCATCTTTACAGACATCGTGATGGATGTCTCGTATTAAAACTGTCGGCGCGGCCACGATGGATCGCGCGAGAATATTTAATTATATCTGCTTTGCAAAAACGTCTCGCGTTTTATTAAATCCGCGCGCAGGAAAAGAGAAGCCCTCGGCAAATATTTTATTAAATCTATTTATATTTTTTCGCCTTTCTCTCTCATCCCGCGACACGATATTTAAAAATGCATTTATTCCCTTCGAGCATATTTTATAAGCCGAGAATAAATAATAATCCACTCGTTACAACACCGTATATCAAATATTGACTACGATATCATCAGTATTATTCACTCTCGAGTGAAAATAAACTTTTTGATGAGCTTTCGGCAAGCATACATTCACCAGCGTACGAGAGATTACGTAGAAAAATATACGTAGCTTGCTGGAAGCTGATTATAGCCTATTTGGAACGTTTAGGAAGAGCGGACACAATCTTTACGGAGCGTGTCGAAATCGTCCAGCAAATCGCTCTTTACGAGCGATCAGTAAAAGTGTTTATAAAATATGCAAAGCAACAAGCAAATGTCTAAATAGTACTCCAGCTATTGAGAAATTTCATGCGTAAGCGAACGATGAGGGAACAGCACGGGAGCGCTCATTTGAACTACAAACACTTCTTGAGTGCTCCTTCCCAACTTCCTGAAAACTTCTCTGATCGCTTTCTTTTCTTCTGCTTCGATACGATATCTTAACGTTTCATTGTTTTATTTCGTCTCTTCGCGGCTTGAACTTTCATATTGCAACTCCCTGTGGCCTTTCGTCATGAGAAATTCAACATTTCGTCCCAACACACACAACTTGAAAATAATATAAATTTTCGATTTTGAAAAGTAATAAAAACACCGTGGAATTTGATGTCTTAGTATGTTAATAGATGCGTTAATAAAACAGCAGAAAAGTTCAAGACTGCTGCGGCAGAATATTACGTCGGCAGAATGTCTGTCTCGATCTCCAAACGTGTAAAGTGCGTTAAAAGTAAAATGTAAATACATGTTAGAGGAAAGTATCTCGCGCACGCACGAGCGTTCAGTGATCTATTACAAGAATAAGTTCTCGCTAATAAGAAACTGGAAACAAAAGCACGCCCGGAACAGCGTATTCCACCGACGATAAAATCTCCCGAGGGGTTGCAACTTCGACGCTTATGCCGTCTCCGCTCTCCCCTTGCTCTTCCCACTCTTGACGGAGGAAGGCAAACAGCTACAGGGTCAGGATATCCCTCGCGAGATAAGGGAGCCAGGACGATCGCGGGGGAAAGCGAATAAATAGCGGCGATAGCGTTTTAGTCGCAAACTTTTTCCTTCTCGCAATGGTAAATGATGGCGCGCCGCACTGCTCCCGACGGAGACGCGGGAATGGGGGTGACGGTTTCCCACGTCTTCTCACTTTCCAGCGACCCGACACCCGTGAAATAGCTTGCACCGAGTGCGTAGACGAAGAAACAAAAACGGGAGAGAGAAAGGGAAAGAGAGAAATAAAACGCGGACTACCGCGTTATCTCTTCTCGTCGGCTTTGTGACCATCGCGAGATTTCATAAACTTATTTCTCGATGTATTCGCAGTGCGGAATGGCGGCGATCGAAGCGAGATATATAGACGAAAAAAGAGAGAGAGAGAGAGAGAGGTTTTATAGAAATTTCTAACTCGACAAATAAATCGCCGCGCGCAAATAAAAGCGAGAAAAAGCGTCGCCCACGACGCAACGGCAGCTTTCTCCGCACAGCTCCGCTCTTCCTCTTTCTCTTTCTCTCTCGCGACTGCTTCGGAAGAGAAGCACGGAGCTCTCGCGCACGCCGGAGAAGATTTTATAACGCTTCACGTAGACGCGCAGACACATAAACAAATATGTTTTGCCCTCCTTCATGAGTTCGCCATTAAAGCGCGTCAGTTGTTTCTGACAGACCCGATATAACCTGCGCTCGTCGCCGCAGGATAAATACTCGCGACGTGCACCTCCGGAGCTCTCTTTCTGGACCGCTTATCCGCTTCCGCTTCCTCTACCACGGGCTTCATCCCTGGTGTCTCTCTCTTTCTCTCCCCGTGTCTCCGTTCTCACGAGCTTGACGTCGGTTTGTTTCACTTCGCCTTAGCTCGTCGGGCCGGATTCATGGATCGTTCGACTTGGCAAGATTAACTTCGTCCTTGCGCGCGTAAGTTAGATCAGAGATTCTCAAAATTCTACGGAACTTTGAGCCGGAATTTTATAAGACTGGAAGTAGCGAGGGTACACGGCTAATAGGAGTTTGAATCGTCAATGAAGGAACGTTTTTAGATAAGATTTATATATATATATATTGTTTGTGCACCTTGTATTATAAAAGAGATAAACGATTCAACCTTAAATTTTAATCTTCCTCGATGAAAGCGAAATGCAGATAAATAAATTTACACGGCAAAGATAAATAAATAACGAAATACGCGAATGTGAATAAAACAAATTCGCTGCTGATAAAATAGAAAAAAATCTCGTTCGATTCGTTAATAAATTTCCGCGATTTCTTGTCTCGTCGGGTTCCTATATTCGCCAATGAAATTTATAATTGCGACTTCCAGAGAGAGAGAGAGAGAATCCTCGTTAAATGCTCCGATATCGCGCATATTGAGATTTTCCATATAAATTTTTATTCGCATTATTTCATCAATCCTATTTGGTGACTGCGAGCGTACTCGGTACTTTCTCTCGCATATATCATAAATATATTTTATTTTAAAATAAATGTTTTATTTTTCGCTATATTGCCGAAAATATCTATTTTTACCCAATAGAAATAAAAGGGGAGATTCAAACGCATCGATCGTGAATTATCGCATTGTTCAGTTAACAGCATACTAATGCATTCGCGAGTCCGCTGCTTTATTTTATTCAATTTTATTTATTGTATCTTTATATAATTATATAATTTTACTGTATTTTTACAAAAACGTAAAATTTCGTGATCCGCCTCTCAATTTTCAGCACAGCGAGCATAAGATTTCACATGATTCATCAAGGGCAATATGTTAAAAGGGCAATATGATTTCCAAAAAGATCTCGTCAAGAGCTGCAATGCCATCGTTTCCCAGCTAACTTGTCGCGTCTCATTCTATGTTTCAGGTCCTGCACATCATAAACGAAGTGCTGGAGCCGGTGCGATCCAATTCGGCGGAGTCGCCAATCTACAACCCCACTGCCTTTCAGTTCTTGAACCAGAGCGAAAATCTCAATTTGGGCGATCACCGTGTACGGTAAGCGTAGATAGAGAGAAAGAGAGAGCGTTCGGCTGGTGCTTCATGACGACGTGACGGTATCAGGATATCGAAGGTTCGAGAGTAGTCCAGCGCATTTAGCCGACGCGAGGCGACGCTTTTCGAGAACGCACGAAGCTGAAAGAATAACGAGAACGTTTGCCGCGTCGGGACAAGGAGAGTTTTTCGCGTCCTTGAATCTCAGAGGAGTGATTCATCCTCGACGCGCTCAGATCGCGTTCAGATAGCGTCATTTCGCGGAGATGTTCTCGGAGAGAAAGCTGCATCGAGGCTCCGTAGATCGTCGTCGTTATTCGAAATTTCGTTTTTGATCTTTAAGTCCTCCAGAGCTGGCCATTTTTTTCTTTCTTTTTTTTTTTAATTTTCACTCTCCAAATTTTATGGTTACGCCGTAAATATTCTATTCTGAATTGGAATATCTCGTGTCGAACCATTACCGTGTCGGCCGCCCTAAAGTATAACTCACACCGGCCCGTCAATTAATGCGCGCACAGTTGCTGATTTAAATATAAATACAAAAACTCGCAGATGAAGAAATAAGCAAGAGGGCGGAATAATTTAAATAACGTAAATAGATGCACGAACTTTTCTCGTTTGTCTTATTAACGTCGGCTGCGTCGTCGTTGCGCCGACATAATTGACCTCTTTCATCTCTTTTCATTCCTCTCTTTTTCTCGCTACTTCTTGCAGTACCTTCCGACAGCGGATCGTCATCGAGAAGAAGGAGGCGATCTTCAAGGCCCAGGGACGTTATACCTTCTTCATCCCCGTTGACGAGGGTTTCAAGGTAAGCGGCTTAGCGACCTTCGTGAATTGATCATCCAGGGGATGATTTTAATATCCTTCCTCGCGGCTCCCTTTAGGAGATTTCGCGGGCAATCGCGTCGCGCCTCGTTTGAAGTGACACGGGGTAATCGAGAGAATGCGCGCGCGCGCATATTCGTTCCAATAGTCCGCGTGTAATCATGGGAGAATGCCTCGCGGAGGAGAAATATCGACGTTGAATAATTCACGACTGATTCGTCGACGGTGATCGGCTCGTCGCAAAGGAATATGTCCAATCGCGGAAGCTGAGGATGCGGCAACGGAAAGCCGTGCTCTCGAGGATTAAGAATTCTCGCGACATGCGAAGTGTCACGAGGAGATAGAAGGGGGTGGAGGACGCGCTTTGAAATAATTACGTGACATAGCGATAGCGCCTCTCAGACACTGCAGGATTTACGCTCGCATTCAAAACGTCCCGTACGGAACATCGTGTTGCAGCGGCGTTACGCGTTGTGACGTTTTACCAGCGGGTGTAAATTATTCCGTGCAGATACACGCGTGGCATTTAGACGTTTCAAACGTCGCATTACAAGTGTGACACATTCTGACATTGTGTGCAAATTCATCTTAATGTTGAACCATCGTTTGTCGCGTACGTGCATCCGTTCTCTCCTTCTCTTTCTGTCTCTGTGACGTTCATTTCGGGAAGTTACTATGCAAAAGTGCGAAATCTTTAGTAGGATGATCCGATCAACGCAGCGCGACGCAACACGTCCGCTGAAAATTCCCGCGTATTCTCGGTACCGTTCGATTAACGCTCCCGAAAGCCGCGAGAATTTAGAATCACCATCCGCTTTTATCACTTTTCCCGAAAAAAGCAGCGCGAAAAAAATCCGCCGCATAGTTAGTCGCCGGTGCTGTAACCCACGCTTTGTCCCGCGAGCTCTCCGCCGAAACTCGCCGCGTTGTAAATTCTATGGTGTTAAAATTTTTAATTTGGTTACCCTCCTCTCTCTCTCTCTCTCTCTCTCTCTCTTTCTCTCTCTCTCCCTCTCTCTCCCTCTCTCTCTCTCTCTCTCTCTCTCTCTCTCTCTCTCTCTCTCTCTCCCCCCCTTTTTTATTCAAGAAATGCCCATTAACTCTCGGCGGACGCGAAAACAATTAAAAATCATGAATCTCGTTTGTACGCGAACTCGCACTCCCACATCCTCTCCCGCGGATTTCATTATTCCCGCATCGCTACACTTCGACGCGAAATCCCGCTTTCTCTCCCGCCGATTTTCAACACCGCGCCTGGCCAGAGTGTAATCCAACTTGGAACGTAAAAGCCGCGACCGGGAGAGCAAACGAGCCACCCCGCGTCAGAAATTACCAAAAGTTTCGCGCCTGTATATGCGTGCTACGATACCGGAACTGGGTCCGAACGGAAAGGCAAAGAAAACACACACATACACACGAAACGCACGCATACACAGCCGCGGGAAGACGGGCGAAGAAAATACAGCGTTCGTTGAGAGCGACGCCGAAGGGTGTAACGACGAAGGGGCGCACGACTCGATCTCGAAAAGTTCCTCTCAACGAGGTCATCGCAACTCGACGGGCCGATATCGGGACCTCTGCGCGCCTCTCGTCGTCGTCGTCGTCGTCGTCGTCGTCGCCTAGGACGACGACGACTTTCGTCGAGGTCGCTACCGCCGCGTTAGGATAGGATTTAAAGTTCGTGGTTCGCGGAAATCGAGTTGCCATGACGACGCGCAGTCGCCGCGTCTTTGTGTCGAAGCGAAGCCCGATGAAAGGATGCGTGTATTCGATAACAAGAAGGCGTGACGTGCGCGCACAAAGCGCGTCGCGCGAGCTTCAACGCGCGAACATTTCGGAACAGTCGCGGCTGTTACGGTTTCATCGTGCGCTCGTACATTCCGTGCAGAATCGCGCCGCTTTTCCGCGCGCGCAATATCAACAGCGGCCGGAAAAAAGCATCTCGAGGAAAATTCTCGAGCTTGAGAAAAAATACTCGCGCGATCGCCGCGCATCCTTGAACGTGCTCCTCACAAAGACGATCCTTCGTTCGCCTGTTACAGCCGGAACCTAGGCCGCAGAAGATCGACCAGCTGGTGATCGACGGCCACGTCATACCCAACCACGTCCTCTTCACCGCGCCAACGCAGGACAACAAGCAGCATGAGACCCTCGTATTCTCCGACAACCTGAAGGTCACCGTCAGCTTCCTGAAGGCGCACAATAAAGGTAATGACGACAGCACCATACTTTCGTTCTCGAATCCACTCTCCGCTCTACAAAAGATCGACATTCGATCGACGTTCGCGATATCTTTATTTTTGGATATCTTAGACTATCGCAGAGAGCGTAGAGGAACGGTTGATTTGGTTCCCGGTACCGCGTCCGTCGTTTCGTCTGAACGTTCCACTTCACTTCTTCAAGGAGTGGAACAATCTGAAACTCTCTGAAGTTTCTCTGAAGAAGCGAAATGGAATATCCAGACGAATCGTGAGAGATAAATTCACGATGGATACCAATCTGGAAATCAAAGCAAGCACCTTAATCTTGTGTTCAACCTCTTTCTCCACCTCGGACGATCTGATTCTTGTGTTAATATGCGATTACGTAGGCGTAGGCGACGACGCGGCTTAATTTGGAGTCAAACGGACGAATTATCGTTGCGAATGAAATTACTCGTTATTCGCGTTATCGCGTTTAACACGACCGGCCCAAGCGCGAGCTTAACGGGGCGATCTACGGTAGACTAAAAGAGAGAGACGTGTCTGCGCTTCGACAGCAGACGCCGTGCCTTAATCGATAGTTCAATTTTCAGTCTACGTCAAATCGAATACACTGGTGGGCGACTCGAACCATCCGACCGGAGTGGTGCTGGCAGAAATAGTGAAGGCGAACATCCCGGTGCGCAACGGCGTGGTTCATCTGATACAACGGCCGCTCATGGTCGTCGACACTACCGTGAGGGATTTCCTGGAGGTCAGTGACCAATCGTTTTATCATTAACGCGATTTCCATGAGGTGTTACTCGAGTCTGCCAACGCTCGTCGATGTGTCGGTTCTATATCCCGTTTGGGGTATTTCAATCGTGCTCAATTCACACCGACCGACACGTACGTGTCTGTCTGCTCTGTCTATGTGAGCGCGTGGTCAATTTTCAAGCACGAAAATTACATTCCTTTTAATCAGAAATGTGATATTAATTCGATCGATTTATTTATGGAATCGCTCCCGCGGTGGGATGAATTTTAACGACCGTCAGCGCGTTAGTCGATAATAATGTTTGACGCACGTTTATTAAATATTGAGAATAACGGAAATAATGCGAAATCAGTCGGCTCAACCGATCTCGCAGAAAGGTGAATTATGATTCGAGCGCGAAGCGCGCCATCGCGCCGCACCGTCGGCCTCGTCATCGGCGTTATTTGCGTTCGCGCTCGTGCTCGTTAAAGTTGATTTACGTTGGAAATATGGCTGCATTTCGTTAGGACGAATTATTAAATGTTACCGTGCGACACGGAGCTCCGCTCCGACGCGGTGTTTAAATGTTAATGTGAATTCGCGCGCCAACGGCGTTAAGACAGTTGTCGCCGTGATATCCGCTCGACGTTGAAGTTCAAAGTTGAAACGATATTGTGTGTGTATGTCGAAACAATAATCTTCCCACCCATTTGCCCTTCCCCCCCCCCTCTCTCTCTCTCTCTCTCTCTCTCTCTCTCTATGTATCTGCCTATCTCAATTCACCTATCTCAATTCTAGCACGAAATTAATAATTTCGTATCTTGCGCGTTGCGATGTGTACATCTGCATTTTGAAATTTGTAGCTCCATGGGGCGTGGATCGTGTAGGAATATTATTTCAATATTTTGCGATGCAGATGTAAATAGATTTGCATTTAGAAAAAACTCTATACTACCACCCCTACATTTTGCGATGCGAACGGGCCCGTATTTGCATTCCGAACGGCAGCGTATTTATTTTGCAAAAATACACGGGCACATTATTCGGCCGAAAATGTTACGCGGCATTATCCGCGTGTTTTTCGCCGAGGCGGGCGAGTCGCGAATCGCCGTAAAAATCCCTTCAGGCTCAAACGAGCGACGCTCGCGGTGATTAGAGGTAAGTGCTCCGCGATAATCGCTTCCGCTGCTCGATTGCTCCGATTGCCGGGCAAAAAGAATCTGGGTCAGTCGAACGCTGGGTTCGCTTTGATTTTCGAGTCGAATCTCGCGTTTATCGCGTTCAACAGAAACAAATCATTCGTCAACGGTGATCACCACCGTCGCTGTTTATGATCCTTCGTCAACGTTCCGGCGGCATTTGCCGGCTCGAGAAAGGTAGAAAATTGGCTGAGCCATTACCTCGTCGATTGAAAAACACCGGTGAACACGTTTGAAACATCGAGAAATCCGCTCGCTGAAATCCACCGCCGGGTCCTCGATCATCCCGTATAACCCGACTAATGCAAACGACACACGTACGCGCGGCGTACCGTGGAAAAAGCGACAGCAATCGACCCGGAAAGCCATCTACTCAGCGGAAGCATTGTGTGACCGGACCGGTCCGGCTCGCTGTTCGAGAGCGAGAGAGAGAACATGCCGCCGAGAAAAAAGATCGAATCTCTAACTTCGTTTAAACCTCCTTACCTCCGCGCGGTGCTCTCTGCGGAATTGAACGCGGTCCTTTGTTTCGTGCTTTTTCCTCCGGCGCAGTCTCTCATTCGCGCCGCACTGGTAAAAGGCACGGCAACTGGGGGCAGCTGGGGAACAGGTCGCCATTGTCGGATTTCGTCGTTTTTCCGCGAGCCGAGCTCGTGTTTGATATCCCGTACGATGCCGAGGTTTTCACGGTCGCTCGAGCGAGCGAGCAACGTCGAGTGATGATTTTCCGTCTCGATTTCGTCGCTGAGGTATACAAGTTTCCCTCCTCGCAGCTTGCCGTCGTCGCTACGCCACGCTCGCGAACCTTTGAGCACTCGGCGACGCGTCGCTCGCGGAGAAAATGTCGCGGTAATCATGAGAGATATAAGGCGCGACGGGCGCGACTCGCGGGAAAAAGCCCGAGTGCAAGCTCCAGTCTGTCACACGGGAGAGAGTTGCCTCTACGCGTGGATGGAGAAAAAATTATTCCTCCATTCCGAGAGACGCACGAGCGAGAATTTTAAATAACTCTAAATATTATTACGTTTGCCTCTCTGTGGAAAATCGGCAACCGGCACCGTCAAACCGAGTCAAACCGTCAAAAATTGGGAGACCGCGTGGCGGGTACGATTGCATTGAAAGAAAAATATCTAGAAAATGAAAAATATTTTTATTTGTTCGGTATTATTAACAGCAGACGTACTCTAATATTTTCACACCGGGAAAAGGTTTTTTTCCTTAACGAGAAAGTTACATTTTCTCAAACTCGTAGCTCTTCGCGAGAGCAATTTTTTTAGGCAACTTAAATGAAAGAATTCAAATCCAAGTGAATATGTTACTGGTACCCATCGAACAAATATCTTTTTGTTTTCTGGACATTTTTTTTTCTCTCAGTGTAAACGTCGACCGACTTATTCCATCATCGACTAGCGAGATATCAGTTTGGTCTCATTTGGTCATCACTTATTCATGGAAATGAGAAAAAAAGAAATAAAATAAATATCGTTTTCTTTTCATTGGATTCAATCTTCATGATGTCTGTGTATTCGATTCGTCACTTTGCATCTTGCCTCCGTTCGCGAAGTCCGGCGCGCCTCAGTTCCGGGCTACGTTCGCCGTCGGCGGCGTCGAGATCCGCGCCGCGAGTGTCTCAAAACAAAGGGCGCGACACGTGATTTCCGCGAGGGATGGTGCAGGTCACGCATGGCGCCGGCACGCCCGCTCGCTCGCTCGCGCTCGCTCGTGCTTCGGGATAAATCACGAGAGAGGTGGGCGAAGAGCGACGGCGGCGAAGCCGCACTCTCGCTGCTGCACCCTTGATCCCGGCGAAATTTCCGCGCGGGCGCTTCATCTCGCTCGCTCGCTCGCTCGCGAGCTGCCAGTGTCTATTATGAATTCAGACCGCGCGATGCATTAGAGGGGCATTAGTATTCGCGGTCCCGATACGTGTATCCCGACGTGACGTGTTTCGCGGAGCCGTGCCGCCGATCTCAAAGGATCCGCGCGGGCGATATTGTGCGCAGGAGGACGACGAAACCGTCGTCGCCGCGGACGCGTAATCGCTGCCGTTCGCGCCGAATGCACGAGCGTGCACATTTTGACACGCGAGCGACGCGAGGGTGCAGGCTAAACGAGGTAATTACCATCGCCCGGAACTTCCCGCATTCCCGCCCGCCTGTCGCCTGCCGAATTGAACGGCCGCCGCGAAGAGCTCGCGAATTCTCAAGTCTGCACACGCGTTGCGTCGATAGTCCGCCGCCGCCGCCGCCGCCGCCGGTGTGTTAGTGCTCAGCTGATTTTCAATTTAGCCGGATGAAGATAACGTGAAGTATGCGAAAACGCTCTTGTGTGTGTTCGATATTTTGCACGCTCGCAACAATGTAGAATCTATTCTTATCTACCAGCGTCGTCTTGGATAACATTTCATTTCGGCGGAGATACCGCTTTTCAATTTCAAATGCAGGCAAATGAGGGCAACATATATTTATGTTATCTCGGTAAAGAGAGATAAGTCGGCGGGGAACTTCATCCGAACGATCATCTGTATAATTCTGCCGAGATAACAGCGAACAACGCTCGGCGCAGATATTCCTCTGGGATTAACACGGCATGGGCTATCGAAATTTACGGCCACGCCGCCGCATTCTCGCGACTCTCGCCCGTTACAATTCCATTCGCTATTTTCATTGGGGAATTCCGTGCGACTGGAGCGACGAACCCGTCATTCATCGCGGATCTGCTGACACGCGCTTCACGTTCACGTCACTGTAATCCTGCGAAAAAAAAGATTCTTCTGGGTAGAACCAATTTATCGGGACATAGCTTAAAATCGAGCAGAGTTTGGACATTTTACACATTTATGTCGATTTGTTTCAACTAGGAGGTTGGAGCTTGTCTCTTTCAAGCCTCAAACGATGACATATATTTTTTAATAAAGGATGTGACAGTTTTGTGCGTGCGCTTTTGTCGTACGAAACGCCGCGATTAATTGATTTATTTAAAATGCACCGCTTCCGTCGCATTTTTTTCATCGGAATTCTCGTCAAATCACTCGATAGGGGAATCGCGCGTTCGAGGCGCTCTGTCCTCCCAGAAATTTTCTGGATTTTTTTAATGAAATTTTTTATGGACCAAAGGGCGGTGTGTGTGTGTGTGTGTTGGTACCCGCGGACGGTCGACCCGCGCGCGCCGGCGATCGTTCATCGACCTGACAAATGAAGATATTATCGTTAACGTTATAACGGGCTCGCGGGTGACCCGGGGGAAAACGACGTTGGACGATCGGCGCGATACTAACCGTTTAAGAACGTGCGGAAAGGCGCCCGCAACGGGCAATTTGTACGGCTGGTGAGAGCATCGCGCACCCTCGCATCGAGATAAGCGGCGTCGGCGGCACGGCGCCAGGAATCTGGCCGGAAATGAGAAAGAGAACGAGCTTTACGGCGATCGTAAAGATTCTATCCGGGCGGGCGCGATTGCGCCCGCCCCTCCCCCCTCCCGTGTATCGTAACGATTCTAATCTCAGCGGGTTCGCGCAGCCGTTTTAGCGCTACGCGGCCTCCGCTCAGGCTAGCGGAGTACGTGCGCGTACTCGAAATAACTCGCGCGATAATTAACTCCCCCCCTCATCTAAGCTCCTGCAAAAACGCTCAATAAGCCTTGTAACGTGACAACATAGTTTATCTAAACGACACTCATTGCAGTTTTATTATTAACCGAGAGGCACACTAATCACCGCACCTAGCGCATATGTCGTACAAAGCTTCGTTATCTACTAAGAAACAGCAATCTTCGTAATCCAATGCGCCGTGTGTAGCGAAAATAGAATTGTAAGGCTCCACGATCGCGGTAGAAATGTTCGGGGCGGTATGAACAGCAAAGTCTAACTTGGTCTTTTTAGCGTAATCTTCGCCGAGATTTTCTAACAACAAGGTCGTAAAGCCGCTGCCAGTGCCACCGCCGCACGATCTACAAAATTAGCTTCACTACTTATACGTATGTAAATTTAATGATACGTAAAAATGTATGAGAGAATATGTATTATTAGAATCAAACGATGTGGAGGCAAAATGATGAGAATCTCGCATCAGTCGAATTACAAACACCTACCTACAGAGTATAAAACCACTCAAATTCGAGCAGTCTTCGCACGTTACGCGAATGCGATCTAACGTGACGTCAATCGCCTCGCGACCGATCGAGTAGTAACCCTTGGCGAAGTTGTTCGCAGCATCTTCCTTGCCCGCGATCAAACATCCTGGACCGAAGAGGTTTCTGTAAGAGCCAGTCTTGATCTCGTCGATCACTGTTGGTTCTAAGTCGATCACCACAGTGCGCGGTGTGAACTTCCCTGTCTAAAGAATTGTACTCAATAGTATTCATCGTCAACCGCCTTGTTATCGACTCATTTATTTTTGGCAAAAGCGGAACAACGTGGAAATCATTATTACATGGGTGTGTTACGTAAATTAAATATATTATATAATTAACATGTTAGAGGGAAAATCAACAAAGGGAAAAATATATTTCTTTTTCAAATAGTAGGAGATACGAACAGAAATATATATATATATATTTTTTTTTCTTTTTCCTTTTATTTTTCGAAGATTTAACGAGATGATACATGATCAACGGGTATTATAAATTACTTCGAATATACGACCAAAATTTGGATTGACTTCCAATATTGAGTAGAATCGTGAACAATCTTGGATATCTATACATATATAATCTACACACAGGGTCTGACAAAAGTTCCGGAACAGCTAATTATTTCAAAAAATAATGATTGTTTAAAACAATGTTTAAAACAAAAGTTGTAGGGCTTGAAAAAAGCTATCAGATATTGATAATTGTTTGACTTTGGAATGGCCTTGGGAAATGTTATCAAGGTCGACATAAAAATCTTAAATGGAAACTCCAAGTTTTTATTACAACGCCTTTTTCCAGCAATTAATTTGTACAACTTTTGTCTGAAACATTTTTTTATTTGCCTAATATTTTTTGAGATATTTAAGGATAACTTGGTAACTTTTTCAATATTTAACTTACGATATCTCGCTAACTGTTTGTCAGGATAAAAAAATAGTACTAGACTTTTCTATTCTATTTGATCTCAAAAATATATTGATACAATAATACTCTATTTTTTGTTAATTTACCGAACTTACTGAAATTTCAAAACCATCAAATTAACAAAAGTCAGGGCGCTATTGTACCAATATATTCTTGAGACCAAGTAGAATAGAAAAGTCTAGTACCATTTTTTATCCCGACAAATAGTTAGCGAGATATCGTAAGTTAAATATTAAAAAAGTTACCAAGTTATCCTTAAATGTCTCAAAAAATATTAGGCAAATAAAAAATGTTTCAGAGAAAAATTGTCTAAATTAATTGGTGGAAAAAGACGGTGTAATAAAAAATTGGAATTTCCATTTAAGATTTTTATGTCGACCTTGATAACGTTTCTCAAGGTCATTCCAAGGTCAAACAATATCTGATACCTTTTTTTTAAACTCTACAACTTTTGTTTCAAACATTGTTTTAAACAATCATTATTTTTTGAAATAATTAGTCGTTCCGGAACTTTTGACAGACCCTATATACAGGGAATATATGTGTATATACGCTGAGAAATTGGAATTTACCTCCGACGGTGAGAAAAATGAGCAGTATAAATCATCCGATGGTCTAAATCCTTTATAGAGAAACCCATCGGGTCTAATTCCATGCTCGAGACAAAGCAATTCCCAGCAAGCATTTGAAATTTGTGTTCCAGCTTGCCCCACAAAGATCGAAACTGCCTCACGATAGGGACTCATCGAGCCATGTTACTGTGATTTATTTCATAACACACAAAAATCTTTATTTGCACCAAGAAATGACAAAATTGTCAAAATATTATTTAATTTGATACATGTTTTTCCTAAAGCAATTGACAAAATTGAACAAAAATTTTAAACTGTCATTTCGATGAAATTAACAGATGTTCATTTGCAATTTAGATGTGTCATACTCGAGACTAAATACAGAAAAACATGCGGAAGTTGACATGC